AATTCTCAACATTGTTTGTACTTTTCACCTGTATCATAGTTTTCTAAATTCTCTATTTAGACATATCATACAACAAAAGAGGAGTTGGTTTTTCCTTAAACCCAATTATTCTCTAACTCACACTTTCTTTATGATACTCAGGCTAGGTAGGAAAGGGAGGCCAGAAGAAAGTAGAAAAGAAAAGAAGGGCCCAGAAACTTGACATCACTATGAGAGAGAGAGTAAGGATGTGAACCAGAAGGAAGGATGGTTGTTTCTTGAGAACAAGTTACTGGCATTGAGCATTTCAGGGGTGAAAAACATAAACATATACATAATATTTCAAAATAAGAAATATCACAGTGTGATTAGTAACTGCCAAATAAATGGCTCTGTAGACAATAAACATTATAAAAGTTTAGAAACCCCTACTGTCAACTGGATTCTGACTCATAGCCACCCTGTAGGGCAGAGTAGAACTGCCCCACAGGGTTTCCAAGGCTGTACACCTTTACAAAAGCAGACTGCCACAGCTTTCTCCTGCAGAGGGGCTGGTAGGTTTGAACCATTGATCTTTTGGTTAGCACTCGAGCTCTTTAACCACTGCGCCACCAGGGATCCTTTAAAATTATAGGAAAGCGCCATATTTGGTTAGCCTTAATGAAGATAATTCCTCTGAAACCTCCCTCTAGCAATGTTTCTTATAGGGTGTAATTGTGTAGGGCTACACTCTCTTGGCTGTTCTTTTAGGGGGACTTAGATACCTAAGAACTTAAAGGACCTTAATGGAAAAGAATTTCAGCTATTAAATAAAGGAAAGGTCATAGGAAGTTTCCAATATGATACAAAATAATTTGAAGTTAAAATACTGAGAAAATTCACTTAATCTTTCCATTTTTCCTTTTCTTCAAAATGTATTTGTGGTAGTTAAGTTCGTGTGTCAACTTGGCTGGGCCTGGTTGAGTGGCTGGGCAGCTGGTTGTAGTATTCCCCACGATGAGACTGGTAATCAGCTCCATGGTGGAATGTACTGTGAGCAGCTCAGTAGCTGCCTTAGGGATGTGGTCTGCTTCCTGTACATAAGGAAAAGCCTTGGAGAACAGTCTCCAGCTTCTGGCACGCTTGAGCCCTGCATACAGCCATGTTGTTGTTCAGCAGCCTGCCATGCTCTGCTAACCCTGGGACTTTCAATGGACTTGAATTAATGGCCTGCCATGTGTTTGGTAACATCAGGACTGTGCCTTTTTACTTGTCAACCTTGGGCTTGTCAGTCTCAGCAGCCAGTAGCTATCTGAGGGAAGAAAAGCCTCTAGCTTCAGTGGGTTGGGAGCAGGAGGCAGAGCTGAAGCCCAAGGTTGAGGGGCTTTCACCCAGCCCCTCAAGGCTGGCACTTTGAACTCGGACATAAAGCCTCCAAATTATAAGGGAATAAAATCCTGTTTGTTAAAGCATTTGTAGTATATTCTTGTCAGAGCAGCACTAGGTAACCAAAACAGTATTCATAGAAAGCCTGCTTTAAAAGATAGAACCAGCTGGGAAATTTATCACTAAATGAAAACATGTAAGTTTCAGTTCTTAGGAAAACTATGCTTTGCTGACTTTCTCCCTGGATTTCTTGTGGGTTTCACTAGTTAAATGGATCAACACATTTACTCAACCACATAAAGTAGACTCTTTTGGGGTTTTCCTGTCTATTTTAATATAATTAAACCTGACACTAATATGTTTTTATTTCCATTGTTCCGTGTGTAGACTTGCTTTATACCTGTTGGTCTCTGAAAGGGACAGAAAGCAGGGAGCTTTTGAGAAATGAGGACCTTGTCAGTTTTGACCACACATTTGGTGTAAGAGCTTTGATATGCTAAACTTGCTAGCTCCTCCAAGTGCACCTTTCTGATTTTGCATCACACCATCACACTGAATCCCTAAGGAATCCAGGGTAACCCTTGCCTTAGAGTCCAGTCTGACTCACAGTGATCCCGTAAGACAGAGAACTGCCCCTATAGGGTTTCCAAGGCTGTAAAGCTTTAAGCAAGGTCTCACAGAGCGGCTGTTGGGCTTGAACCTCAGACCTTTCAGTTAGCAGCCAGGCGCTTGACCATTGAGCCCCTAGGGCTCCTCAGGAAACCAGAGTAGCTTTATAAATTAAAAATAAGAGGAAGCAAAGAAATGCAAACCAATTAAACCGTTTTCGTTATTCATCTCCACAGACTCATTCTGCAAACTGCAAGCCTTCACAAATCCCGGATAGGTTCAAACCAAACTGAAACACACTGTCATCACGTTGATTCTGACTTTAAGAGATCCCCATTGGATTTCCGAGGCGGTAAATCTTTAGGGAAGTAGATTACCCTATCTTCCTTCCGCTGAGCGGCTCGGAGGTTTGAACTGCCAACCTTCTGGTTAGCAGTCAAATGTTTTAGGCACTGCGCCACCTAGCTAGAGAACTTTATAAAAAGAAGAGGCCAAGAATAGCGATCTTAGTTCTAAAGAGCGAAAACAGGTGATGTCATAACTCACAGTCCAGTGTGGTTAAAGCAAAACCGGGTGGGGAGCTCGGGCTCCAGGGAGCACTATGCTCCGCGCCAGTGGGCGAAGCAAGTTATCTCCGGGGCCCGGAGGAGGCGTGAGGACCCGGCACCAATCAGGTTCTTGCTCAGCGCCTGTCTTTGTTCTCACTGGGGAGCAGGTTTCGGGCTTTTCGCGTCAGGAACCTGCATTCAAGCCGCACGCATGTTGCTGGCCCCCTGGGAGACCTAGCTCTCCCTACCCCCATCCCTCGCCAGCCAGAGCTTTTCCTAATTACATCTGCCTTCTTTCCCGAAAACGGGGACGCTAAAACCCTGACTCACCATTTTTAGCTTTGGAAGAGGCAGGTCCGTCCAGCCCCATAGTTTTAAATGGCAATTTGTTCTCTAAACCTTCCTTCATTGGCAGTCTCTATGCTCTGCACGCATCTGACCAGCTGCCTCAGAAAGGTCTTTTGGGTGCGAGAAGCTGTGTTTTGGCTCTTCGTGCTGGACAAATAAAGGAACTTTCATTGTTAAGAGGACTGTGAGAAGGGGTTTCGGACAGAGGAGAAGCCCTTAAGCCAGAGTTTGGTGTCTTTTTTCTCTAACCCGATTAATTATATAAATATACTTCTAATATCTATCCCCTGCCTCCCTCCCCAGCCTCAGGTAACTGGTCTTTTTGCAAAACAAGGCTCATGATAAATGATGCACAAAGTTCTTTGAGATCCCTGGATGTAAAGTGCTGCGTGAACACAGTCTTCTTTACAGCTGAACTTTGATTTTAGCTGAGAGAAAGCCTAACCACTGCCCTGATACTAAGAATGTTTTAACCCCTTTTTCTGAACAGATAAGGAAATATTTAGCTCATTCTTAGACCCTCTTGCCTGTTATAGCTTGTTCGCAGATATTTATCTCACTCTCATCACCATTTCTACTGAGATTGAGAGAAGGGGGCGTGGCTGGCCTTAGAAAAGGGGCTGGGCTTCCCAGTTAATTGCATACAAGACACCCTCAACCTCCTATTGGTGGAGCAACAAACACTGTATTCCCTCCCACCCGCTACTTTACTAATCCGCCATCTCCCTTAGGTTCACAGCCTCGGAGATAAACTTAACTTGCCCGGAGATTCAAGGCCTCCTCGGCCTCAGCGATTGGCCGGCTCGGCTCCCAGCCCGGCTCGGGAAGTTCATTGGCTGCGGGTTAGCGCCTCGGGGGCGTGGCCGAAGCTGTCCGATTGGCGGGAGGGGGCGGTCCCGTAGTGTGGAGGTGGTGAAGGTGGTGGGGAAGCGGGGGCGGGGCCGCACTGAGGCGCTGCGGCGGCGGCGGCGGCGACGGCGGCGGCAGCGGTGGCGGCTGCTCGTCCTAGCCTGGCGGGGGCGGGGGTCTGGAGGATGGGGGCGGGTGGAACACCCGGCCGGTGAGGAGCAGCCGCCGCCGTCTCCGCCGTCGCTTCGGCAGCCGCCGCGGTGGTCCCCTCTGGCCGTCGCCTCTCCTCCAGATATATCGCCTGGAGGAGGCTGAGGCTGAAGCGAGACCGGCAGAGGGGGACGGCCCGGCCCTGTAGCGGTGCGGGTGGCGGCAGTGACAGCCTTGCCCTGCCCGCCGCCCGTCCTCGTTCTCGGCGCCCGCAGCCACGATGAATCGGGGCGGCAGCAGCCCCTCGGCCGCTACCAACTACCTGCTCTGCACCAACTGCCGGAAAGTGCTGCGGAAGGTACGGGCTCGGTCTGAGGTCCGGCCCGCTGCGGGCTCTAACCGCGGACGGGGCTCGAACTGCTGGGCCCCGCGGCGCGCACTTGGGGCGAGCTTGGGAGGGATTCTGAGGCACGATCCCTGCAAGGAGACCGAAGAAGAGGATGTCGGTTGAGGGTGGAAGGTTTGCACCGCTGGTTTTTATCTCCGCGGGGACGCTAGTCCCGAAGGTGGCTTGTGGTGTTTTTCGGTTCACCTCCCTACTTGCCACCCCTGATCTACTCCTCGGGCTGAGGGAGGTAGGATCCGCTCCTCTATGGGTCCTGGTGGCTTGATCCACCTCCCTGTGCAATTTAGCTGTTGCTGGAGGTTGGTGTGTAATCTGAACAGTCTGGTCTGGGGAACCTGCTTCCCTCTTTGCTGTGGCTAACTCTTGCGGGTGTTGTTTTTGTTTCTTAGGTTGCTTCTGCTTTGCGTGCTTTCCCCTAACACTCCTTTTTAAAATTCTTTGGCTATTCGTTCTGTGTCTGTAGTTCAGTCATTAAAGGAATTGATAAAGCAACTTTGAACTTTATGCCCATGGGAAATGCTGGTCGACCCTCCAGTTTCCTTAGTCTGGGGTCGGGGGCGGAGGAGACTGAGGTGGATGTGGGTTAGCTTTAGCACCCCTCCCCCAGTGTTAGTCCAGAAAAGAAATCAGTCGCATAATCAACGTATTGCTTCCTAGAATGACTGATAGAAAGTTTACTCCAGTATTGTATTGTTTAGCCTACTTGGCTTAATCAGTTGGGGATGGGGGAACGACGACACTTTGCCGAAAAATGTCGCTTTAAATGGAGACGAGCTTTTAATCGGACTTTTAATAATCACTGAAAAATATTCTAATCAGTTTCTTATTCTCCACGCTCTATTTTTACTTTCGATTAAGTGGAAACATTAGTTGAGGTGCTACTGTTTGTCCACTAAAAATGAATTAAAATTGCTGAGTGTGCAAATGCATCGAGTTGAAAGACTGAGGACGGTACCCTTTTTAGTCAATTTCTCGAACTACAGCCTACATTGGAATTGTTCTTTATATATTAGGGGAAAAAAGGAGAGAAAGAAAGCATGTAAGTAAGCAAGCTCAAATATTTGCGCTCTTTGTCCAAAAACTGTTTTTCTTCCTTTGTGGGTCAGGCCAAGTGCCAATCAAAGTTGTTTTTCAAGCCTCTTTTCCCTGCAGTAGGGCTGCTGCTTTTTTTTTTTCTTTTTTTTTTCCTTTTTTGAGAGCTTGAGAAAAGCAAAGAGATGGCAGATTAGCAGTTAATTGAACATTTAAATATACTTTATGTTGTGTTTATTATATATGTTTCTCTCAAAACATAATTTTATTAAATGTGCATGTTGAGTATGTGCAGTTATTTTTTTCCATAAACTCTGGGATCAAATTACAGTTGATACTTGCACTGCTCATTGTAGCGCAGCTTGTGAGCAATGTAATGGATCAGAAGTGCAGATCAGCTTGGTTGAATGTTAACTCCTTCACTGCAGGGCCAGATATCAACTGAATTGAACTTAGTATCATCATTATTATTATTTCTTAACTTTAAAAGTGATGATAATATGGTTTTGATATGTCAAGTGTGTTTTGAGGCATATGTTTAAACTCCAGCCTGGATAAAATGATAGTTTTTTTTTGTTTTTTTTTTTTTAATTTCAAATAAGGGAAAAAAAGAGCTATATTGACCTAGATAAAGAGGATATGTGTGCCTAAAATGGCTATGACAATTTGGTGTGCTAATGAAATGTTTGAAAGTAAAAATAAGCTTCAAAATCTATTTTATTTTTATTTTGAAAAAACTGTGGATACATGACACTTCTCTAGCAATAAGACATCTTTGTATTTTCTTCTTGGCTTTTAAGAAATGGTTTCTGTTTACCTAGAAAGAACATCCTCATTTTTAATCATGAAAAGAAAGAGGTATATGGAAAATGGATATTCATCATTTCCATATTCTGTAATTGCTTTGTACATCTGTGCCAATATTCCAGTTTTCAGTAACTCCAAGGTATTTAATAGTGGTTCATGCAGTAGCATGAAGAAGCTTTAGATGGAAATGAGGTTGTTGGAGCCAATTATGACATGACTTGGCAACATTTATAGTTTTTTTAGAGTGTCATCCTTAAGAGCTCTTAAAAGAAATCAAGGTATACCATTTTAAATTTATCATTCTAAAAATTACATTAAGCATTTATTTCTAATAAACGCTTTTGCCTTTTTTGCTAGAAAGAATATAACTCTTAAGTAAAATTCAGCTGTAATTCTCCAAAAGTAATTTTCTGAATTTATCTTGTTTTTTCCATTTAATAAAGTGTTCAGTAATAACCAAGTGAGTCATAGCTTTTTGAATTTTAGTTCAGAGTAGTTCATAATGGAAGAAAGTCATGCACACCCAGTGTGAATTGCTGTTTGCTGTTAGACCCTTATTAATGATGGGAGAAGGATCACCTTTATAAGCCTTTTTCTCCTTTACAGGCTTAATTTGTTGAAGTGTGTTAAATTTTGGGAGAACTTCAAAAGGAACTGGATTTGCCTTCAAATGAGATAATTTGGTTTAATCTAATATCTGAAGATTGAATTGAATATTTAATGAGAATCGCATTTATGCTTAGAATGCCTTTATAGTTTTGATTCAGTATCTTCAAAAATAAAAAGACTGCTTAAAATACTGAATGTGCTTAGGTAAGAACCTTAGATCAACAAAAATAACCAAGAGGTAAACCATGCAGAAAAATAAACAAGCAACAACAGCTGCAGCAAAAACAACAACAAAAAGCTATCTACAAACCTGTAACTCCAACTAAACTGTGTTAACATTGATGTGGTTCAATAAAGTTTCTAGTAAAAGATAAAATGTTTCTGTTTACTTTATAAGTTAATGAGTTGTGAAGTGTAATACATTCTACTTGAAGAAATTCTAGTGACAAGGAGATAGATGTGCTGCTTCATTTTAATTTCAAAGTGGAATATCAGGCTGCATTAGGGGAGGTAAGTAACTGACAATCTGCTCTTCTGGTAAATACAAGGTGGCATATTACAATGTACTTTGAGTGGTGAGCAGTTAGTGCTACTGAAGTAAGTGAAACTCTGCACTGTTAGAAGACTTCATATTTTAAAAGTCTTAATCAGAGTGGGTAGTTCCAGGGTTAAGTCTTTCTGTGGTTTTTGCCTTTTATACTTTGCTTATATAACCACAAAATTTGACAACTTTCTAATGATTTTATAAGTGAAGATATGAGGCAAATGGGAAATACTAGATTAAACTCTATGAACTTCATTTTTGTAGGTTAAAATTGCCGGATATTAGCAGTTTCAAATGGTACAACCAATGGAATGGAATGGCTTTGAGTATGGATTAATAGCTATAGTTTGCCTTGGTTAATCAAGTTTCTAATGTATATACATCTTTTTAATAGTGAAAGGCAGTCTTTTACCTTATTTTTCTCTGAAATGAACTAAGACATCAAGCACAGAATTTAAGACTTTAAACCATTAGTGCAATGGTCTCAAATTGCTTTCTGTAGAACCCTAAGATGATACATGTTCAAAGGTGCTGGAGTTGGAATACATTTCCAAGTATATGTTAAATTATAATTTAGAACTATAAAAACTGTACTCATGAGGAATCTGTACCTTGACCAGGAGGCTGTTGTTCGAACAGAACAAGGGGACACTACATGCTTTAAAATCAAGAAGGGAGTGTGTCAGGGTTGTATTCTTTCTCCACACTTATTCAATCTATATGCTGAGCAAATAATCCGAGAAGCTGGACTATATGAAG